TTACTAAACAGTGACGCAAATGTATCGTTCTTATACGATCAGGTGCTATGTTCTTATACGACGTATATGTCACATAATATAGGTCGTATAAGATAGTATGTCGTACACGTATAAGAACGATACATTTGCAGCAGAGGCAGTTAAAGTAAAAGAGATGAGCAATCTCAGCAATTCAGACCACCTTACGCCAGTAGTTTTTACAAAGCGATTCCTTGCAGCATTTGAATTGCAGCGACGCCATCCAAGGGCATTCTCGCGAAATTGTGCCGAATCTCGATTGATGAACCATTCGCTCATATTATCCATTCCAGCGAAATTATGTTTATGATTTTCGTAATTGACTGCTATTGTCGATTTATTATGATTGTAGTTTCCTTTTTTTTAAAAAAAACTTATCAAAATAATATTTTAGGCGACACAAAGTGGTAAAAATGGTTTTCATAGTCCGGCCGGGTCAGTTTTGTTAAGTCTTAAAAAAAAAATTTTTATATTATTACTATGCCGGGTGAGAATTTTTTAAAAATTGAAAAAAAATTTCGCATATAAAATTTTTGAAAAAAAAAATTAAAAGCCGGGTTGCCGGGTTATTGATGAAATTTTTATATTATGAAAACCATAAAATCAAGTTTGTATGGCCTTATACATTCCGTATTACAAGAGTTTCATTAATTTCTAAGTAAACCTGAGTGAAGAAAATAGCATCTAAATTAACTCGTTTCTGTGTAAGAAAATCCTAAATCTTCCTGATTGACAATTTGTTGTGATTTAACTTTGAATATCAACGTTCCAAAAAAAAAAGAATTACCAAATTTGGAATAAACAAAGAAAAATATTAATGCAATTTATGCATCAATTGGGATATCGTGTCAATCGTATATCCCGAGTCAGATATAAGTAAAGTTTATAATATTTAATTGTATTTTTATGTACTGTATATATTATCGATCTAATGAAAAAAAGTAATGAAAAAAAGTATGGGAACTGATATTATCAATATTTTCCAAATTAGATATTTTTTTGATAAAAATTAAAAATCAGTCTGATTGAAAATTTAAAAATTGATATATATATATATATGTTTGCGGAACGATTATTATTAACCTATATATTTGTAATCAATGTACGGAAAAAAATTTTATTCTGATGTCAAAATGTGAACTTTGCGAAACAAAAGAAAAAAAATCCAAACCTTTCTAAAGTTGATTATTTTGATCCGGTTGATTACTTTTGAAATGATATAATCAAAAATACTAACATAACTGTCGATACTGTCGATAATAAGGTTAATTTAGGATCATTTGGCGAAAGAACTGGATCAATAGTACGAATTACATTTCGTGTCGTCATTATACATCAAAACCGAAAAGGTACATAATGACAATATCATGTTTAGACTGTTTAGAAAGATATGTAAGATAAAAACATATATATATCTGATATATATATTATATATATACAGTTATACACACCTCTTTGACATTGACATCCGCTTATTTCGATATTTTTTTTAATGACATACGATACCCCAAATTTTTTTTTAACACTTCAAAAAATTAAAACATTAATATCCATCAGCTGGCGTACAAAAATCAACATTATCCTACGATTAACCGTCCAACGTCCTACAATTTGATTGTATTTTAAAAATTTATTTTAAATTCGGATATTTTTCTCCATAACAATTAGATTTTTATAAGCTTTCTGCTATTTATGTTAGCCGGTTTTTTTTTGATATACTGTATAAAAATTTTTTTTTTTATAAATAAATACATATTTTTTTTTATTCTTAAAAAAAGACCGAAATCTTAAAAGTCGAAATTTTGATTCATTTTAAAAAGATTTTATTTTATATTTACAAAAAAAAAATAATTTATATTAGCGTGTTTCGGTGTTTCACTTATCTTAAAAAAAAAATATTGGTCTAACTAACGCATGGAATCTAATATATTTGTCCTTATTGAACTTGGCAAATTAATACAAATCATTTTAACATAAAGACAAATTACCCCATTTTAAAGTAACTTATTTCTAAAAATAGATGAATATATATTTTTTTACCTAAAAGCCAAGGATTCGAAAACGGAACATCCGAGTCCAATGATTATGTTAATTTGGGTTGGCACCATAATTCTGACAAGAGTTATTAAGCGAAAAAGGTCTTATTCATTAAAATATTAATATTATAAATTCAATATAATTTCGGCCACTATGGTAAGGTAGGACCGGGAAATCTTTACTATATATCCCCACATTTTTATTTTTATTTTTATTTTAGCAGGTGAAACAATTTGAAGTACAGATTGTTAACTGTTTATCCCCACATTCGAATATTACTACTGTATAAATTCAAATAATGTAGTCACCAGTTTTCATTAGATTCGCAAAAAAATTGGTTACCCGCTTAAGGCTTAGATTCGCACATACATATTACAAAAAAAGTAACCGCCCATTAGTTTGATTCGCAGTTATATATATAGGTCCCCGATTATCATTTGATTCGAAATTTTTTCTGATCTTTAGTATTTTTGATTTTAAAAAATAATGTCGCTTCCTTATGACTCTCGTCAAAGCCGCTTTACCTCTTTTGATAACTTTCAAAAATTTATTAGTACTAAAAAAGTTCTTTGTAAATGTGGTAAAACTGTTTCGCTTGGTGCTATATATCAAGTTGCTAATTTTCAAAGACATTTTCAAAGTAAAAACTGTGATTACTATTTAAATAAACAACCAAGCATAAATGTCTTTTTCTCAAATAGCATATCAGAAAATGATGAAGAAAATAGGAATGATGAAGGAAGTAACGATGAAAGAAATAGAAAACGAATTGCTGTTAGGTGTCAGGGTCTCTGTGATTTAGAGCATATTAATTATGTTATAAATAGTCCTGCTAGCTTTGGTGGCGGAAAAAGAGCCAGAAGTTATAGAAAAACAACTTTTTCCAGAAAAGTTTCCAGAAAAAACCCTTTTACTAGAAAGAAACTTAATAAAAAACAACTAAAAGAATTTGAGAGAGTATTGGAAGCTGAAGCTACTTGGCGTTCGGATAAAGAAGATTTAGCTATATCATGCACAATGTGAAAAAAGAACAACTAATGAAAGCTCTCTGTGTAATAAGTGTGAAGAATTAAAGGGTAATAAACGTTTGGATGAAGCACTTAAAGCTGTAAGTTTATATTTTTTATTTTTATTTTTACTTTTATAAATACTTTATTATTTAAGAAGCGGGCAACAAGTAGTACCGTTAAATTTATAGTTATTAGAGCTTCTCAAGATTTCAAATTTACGGCAATTTTTGGCTGCTACAAATAGTAAAAGTGATAATGCGGAATTTTGGATCAAAGTAGCCCAATTTGGCTTAAGTGGAACATTTAGTGGAGATAAAACTTTTGCTGAAAAAAAAATGCAGTCTATTTTCTGAAAGTAGCCGTGAATATAAAATCTTTAAGAAGGCTTTGCTGGACTTACAGTTCAAAGAATTCGGTAATTATTATTTATTTATTTGAATTTTATATAATAAATTATTATACAAATATCTAAGTTGATAATTGATTAACTTTTGAATAATAGATAAATTCGTAGAACAGATTCCATTGTAGTTACTAATCCTGATTTGGTGATAGAGATTAGAAAACTTTATGTAGTTTTCACAAATTGTATCAAGTCTTAATTAGAATGGGCCGATTATAGTCATGGCATATTCTACGAAATTACGAAAAACTTGAAAGACCTAACCACATTGCTGGGTCAACCTTACCACATTCAGAAACAACTATTGCAGTACTTAATGATGTTCATCAAAAAAATTAATCATATTAGAGAAATGATGCAATTGCTACACAAGTTCGTGATATAGCATCGAAGGTTAGTAATCATGAAATATACATATTAATTTTAATAAAATATTAATTAGTTATATTATTTTTAATTAGATTCCTATTGGGAAAGTTGCACCAATGATAGTAGCAATGATTCCTACTAAAGGTGATGAGGGAGCTGATTAAATTATTCGTCAAGTAATTGAAGTGGCACATGTAGCAAATTTTGAACATTATAAGTTTTGGAGCTGATGATGCTAGATCTGAGTTTAATGCACAATCAATTATTAGAAATGAAGCATCGAAGACAAACAAGACGACAGAACTGCATTACGTACTTTCATTCAAATACTTTGATGCAAATTCCAGTTAGTGGTACTTTAACTGATGACCTATTCGTATTAGGTAATTATTTTGTATCTTTTTTATTTTTGATTTGATCTAAATATTTATTAAATTTGCCTTTTATCTAAATAGGACAATTGATCATAGAACGCGCATTGAAATGGTATTACGTGCTTATTTTTTTTTTAAACATATGGAAGGACTATATTGAACGCAGTAATACTAATACACAATATTCAATAAAATGGTATAGCTTACAAAAAAGTTTTATCTCAATTCAAAGTTATGATACTAGTATGGTGGAGTCTTTGGTAATGCTTATAATAGATCGTGAATATTATCCACAATATCCTTTATTCCATGGGAACATGGAATTGAAGCTTTGGAACATACATTTGGGATTTCACGAAGAGATTTTAATTTTTATGAGTTTTTTAAGATACAACAAAGAGTTTCATATCGGGATAAAATTTCACGAGCAGGAATAATTGATACTAATAGAGAACGTGATTCTGCAGCAGGTATTTACAATTCATTTTTTTTATTTTAACTTCTAAAATGCTTCAAATAATTTATAAGCAATAAATATATTTTTAGGTTATGTTTTTATGTGAAAGTGACGTGCCATCTACAGTATATCAAAATAATTGAAAGACTTCGCACATGGCCTACTACTGATGATATATAAGAATGTACCAGAGTTGCATTTAATGAAGCTATGTCATTAGCAAAATATATTCATATAGATAATCATGAAGAATCATCAATTCCTGAATTTATTGCACATATAGGAAAAATGACAGACGATGAGGAGGATAACCAACATAATGAATTAAATGGTAAATAAATAGAATTATATTTAATTAATTAAAGCAATATTATTTTAATTACAATTTATTAATTTAGAATTAATGAATACTTCTGATGAAGCTAGTTTAGATCGTTCATCCATAGTTGGCAATGTAGCTTTAGAAATATCACGTATATTATCAGATTCACAGAATGAAAATGATCAATTATATGAAGAAAATTTGGATGATAATGAAAATGAGGAAGTAATACAACAACTGCCATCAGTTGGAGAATTTCCTGATATTCAATATATTATACAACATCCTCGGCCTATACCAATTACTTTTCACCCATTTCAACAATTTTTTACCGATGTCATTTTTAATATTACGATTCTTTTACAAATTCGTCAAAGTCATGATGCATTTTCATCGTAATTTGCAATCAAATTCATAACAAATAGTAAATAGAAATAATAATCAAATACAAGAAATTAATGGAAATGCTGTTAATAAGCTTATTACCGAAATAACAGCTAACAATATTGGTGAAAATCAAAGAAGAAGACGCCGAGATTGATGTGAAGGAAGGAAAAGATTAGAGACATTATCTAAAATAATAATTTAGGTGATTGTTACATTTTTATTTTGCATTATAAAAAATTTATTTATTAATTATATAATTTATTTATTTAATTTTTAGTAACAAATCTTAGCTTGGCCAATGTTTCTGATATTAATCCTTTATGCAAAAATGGATTCTTAATAGTTTATTCCAATCATATTTTATGTTTGGGAAAAGTTATTACAATGTATTGAAAATGTGGACAACGACATACATGGGTTAAAAAACCAGCAGGATTTTTAGATAATTTATCATTAAGATTTATATGCAAATGACATCGCTTTTTTTCATGTGAAAATTCAATAGGAGATATTACAATTCATATTACTCCACATGAAGTGGTTTATTTTTTGGGTATGCGTTCATATACAAATGTAGAAAATCACTTAATTTCAGTAGATGATGAAACCATTTCAGTTTATGAATGTTTTAATCACCTTCTTCACGTGATTTTCTCTCAAAAGTTTTTGATAAATAAATAGTGTGGTTGATAATATTATTATTAACTTTTTTAAGGCGTTTGTAAACTGATTCGCTTATCGCAAGATTAAGATCAGGTGCCTGCCATCGGGAATTATTGAAAAAAAAAATTCGCATAATTTAATCCAATTATTCCCCCCAACAGGTTTATCAAGCACCAAAAATTCCAAAATCAACATCTCGCGAACGCATTCGTTTAATTGAAAAAATAAGAAACCGTGAAGTTATCACATAAAGGTTCACCGGAAATCAAATTGACAATGTCACAACAAACTTTTTTTTGCAGAAATTGGAATATATATTTTGAAGCACAAATTTAGATTTGATCTCGGCATTCGGGCAGAGAAATATTAATTCGTGATCCGTGAGTAAAATTTATATATGAATTCAGTGCAAATTTATATTGATCGCTAGTAATTTTACATTCAATACTTAACATATTTTAATACATAATATTTATCCCAAAGTTTCAAATATTCTACTTTTAAAATAATTTTTTCACAATTTTTTACTTTTTATTTGATGTCTCTATTGCAGGTCTTTTATATATGTTGATTTAAATATATCTTTATTATGCTTAAAAATATTAATTTCTTCTCAGGTGACATTCGTCATTAATAATATGATACAACTCTTAATAAACATTAATAATAGTGCCAAATATAGAAAGTAACAAGTTTCATTTGTCAAGGTTAATATCCAAAGAATTAATTCCAAATCAGTTTTTTCAAGTTTATCTCGAATCCTAAACCAGAGGCCTTTAAATTTTTGAATTAACGGATTGGTAAATAAAATAAGCTAACTTTAATTAGCTAGATCTAATTTTATTTCGAGACTTCTGAATGGGACATAAACGAAGGTGTAGAATGAGAATAAATGTGCAGTAATCAATTACTATACCGACCTAGCGAAATTTTCAGTTTTAAAATAAATCAAAGTTAGTTTAATTCGATGAAATTGAGCAAACTAAAAAATGTACTACTATATTTAACGTGGCAATAAAATCAATAATCAATAAACAATTAAACAAAATATTTTTTTAAACTACATACTTCTTATACTGGTTAAATACAAGCCCGATGTGGTGAATCTTATTATTTATTATGCCTGAGTTTGATCTGGAATCGATAATAAGGAATAATTAAGGGAAAAGCGTTATAAACAAAGAACTACCTCCAAAAAGTTGTTGCAATTGAAGATGCAATACAAGAAGCTGATAAATCTATTCTTTTAATATATTTTTATTTTAATTAATACAATAATTTTATTCTTTAAATTTAACGAGCCATCAAATTATTTGCAAATAATCATTTAATTTCGGAATTATGTAGTATAATAATGTTTATTAGAACTCAATTTCATTTAATAAACAATAAACAATAACCAATTCTATGGCCTTATTAATTTTAATTCGAAAATATCATCCGATTTCGTGGAAGGGGAATGTACAAAAATGAGTACGTTGATACCGTATATCTTAAAAAAAAAAAAGAACCGATTTTTGATAAGCCAATTTTTTTTTACTAAATTTATTATATCTATTATATACTGTAAGTATTTTTAAACACTAAGATAATAAAGTCAGTAAAGTTAAATACTAAATTGTTCTTTTATATTTGAAGAATTTCGATCGAAAGTAGGTTTGCCAATTAATTTAAGTTTTGTCATAAAAAGATTTTGCTGCATATTCAGATTATAATTATAAGCGAAAGGAAGCGAAAGTATAGTTAATCTCATATTTAGTGAAAGGCGGATCCACTAAAAAATTGATTTGTGAATGGATCATTTGTAATTTGTATCGGTAATCGTATAAACCGTTTAGGTATAAATGTTTTATATCTAAAATGTCGTTGTCTCCGAATAATACGATCAACGTAAGATGATGAGACGATAGTAGGATTGTAACGAGTTGTAGTATCAGGTTGATTATCAAAAGAATTGTTTAAAGCATTTAAAGCATTTGACGAAATTTGAGCTTGTGAATGATTCATTTTAAAAAATATAGGAATAAAATTTAAAAAT